ACAGAGAAGCTACAGAGAAAATGGGGCTCCTAACAACCACCTGGAAGACCTGGTAGACAATAAAATTGCCCCCATCAGATAAACAACACTTAAAGCTTTCATCTTTGAGAGAGAGGAGAAAATCAAGCTGCTTCAGATCTGAAAACATCCACAGGTGTTTCAGTCCATCCTTCCACTGTGAGAAGACAACTCAGCACTATGGGTCTGAAAGGATGTGTAGCTGTCAAGAAGCTCTTACTGAGAAAAGGAAACAGACACATCAAACAAAGAAGCTGAACAATGGACTGACCACCCCAGAGTCCAGACCTCAACATCACTGAATGTGTTTGATTACTTCAGAAAAAGATCAACCAACTTCTAAGACTGAACTCTGGAGGTGTGTCTGCAGATTTCTTTGAGAAACTGAAAGTGAGTCTCCTGAAAAGAATGGAAGCTGATAAAGGTAAAGAGTGACACACTGAACACTCGAAACAGCTGATATTAGATTTAGCTGTTGAGGCTTCTGTGTGATTTTCTCTAAATTATGTTTCCTGCTTTTTACCTGACGCTGAAAAATGAACAACTTACCCTTAATGGTCGTTTTGGCAAATAAATAAATAAAGGGTGGTCTCTGACTTTTGCACAGTTTGAGGCAAGTAAATTGTTAGCTACATTAGCCTCGTAGCTCCAATGTAAGACTAATGAAGCAAACTTCATCTCGGCCGTTTGACTGTGTTTGGGGTAAGAAGGAAATTGTGTACGTTTGATTTTTTGCTGAACATGTTCAGCCATTGTAAACAAGCAATTAGAATAAAGCACAGACATGTTAAAATGTTAATATTGTTAATGTGTATCGTATCAACACAACCACCAACTCAGAATCTCAGAAAAAGCCAAAAAACTGTCCTCAGTCAGACGCCTGACAAGCAGCCCTTCAGTCCAAACAGACTAATGTGCTGAAGTTCAAAGGCAAATAATTTAAAAGCTACTGCATTTACTCTGCTGATAACATCAAATTGAACATAAAGCTAGCAGAGTGCGGTGGATGAATGGAGGGCGAGAGATAAATAAACAGATTTATCGGGAATTTACAGAGGACGAGGGAAAGGAGAGACAGAGAATGAGATGGATGGAGAGAAAACGATAGAGGGACAGAGGCTAAGGCCGAGAGAAAGGGCAAGAGAATAAGAGAGAGAGAGAGAAAGGTGGAGAGAGAAAAAGAGGAATAGGTGCAAAGTGGAAGGGAAAAAAGAAGAGAGTGTGGGACGGCACAGAAGGAGAGAAAAAAGTGAGAGAATGAGCAAAAGTGAGATAGAATAAGAGATTGAGAATGTGAGAGAGAGACAGTGTGAGAAGGCATTAGAAGAGGAGAAAAGGTGAGAGTGAAAGAGAAAGATAAAGTGAGAGAGAGAGAAGAGAAAGATATTATGCACTTATTTCATGTATTTAAATCTTCCTGGCAGTACGAGTGCTAATATTTGTCACGCTCATAAAGCAACCTTAAGACAGAGAGCCAGAGAGTAGAGGGAATAGAAAGATAAAGAGAGAGAGAGAGACAGAGAGAGAGAAAGAGAGAGAGGGAGACAGAGAGAGAGAGAGAACAAAGAGAGAGAAAGTGAAAGAATAGAGAGAGAGAAGATAAACAGAGAGGAGGAAGAAAGAAAGAGTGAGTAATAGAAAGAGTAAAGAGAGAGAAAGAGAGTGAGAGAAAAAAAGAGTGAGTAATAGAGAGAGTAGAGAGAGAGAGAAGGAGTGTTTGTATGTGAAGGGAGGTGAAAATGGTCCCCTGATGCGCTCATGAATAGTGGAGCGGGGGTAAGGCAGGACAGGACGAGCTCAGGACATCCGGAATGTTCTCCAGTTGCCTAACAAACATTCCTTATTCCGGATCGGTTTACACACAGCCCTGCGTCTGAAACGCCGCTTCACAGCCACTCAGACTTTCATTAGAAACCACTTTCAGTTCAGAAGTATTTCTGTCAGTCCAGCTTATCCCTATCTGATGAGGATCTTAAAGGGGACGTGATTAATGCTCAGGTTAGGTGACCTTAAAGCCAGCTGATGTTTTGAAAAGTAACTGACTGGTCATTACTGTGTCTGTATTCACATGCAAAGATTTCTGCCAATCCAATTGAATACATTCCGATTATAGATCAAGACTGAGGTATGCTCTGATGAAAATCTCTGTTTACATGCTCACTACAAGTAATCAGATCCAGAATTACGCGCATGCGTACAGCAACACTTAGTGTAGACGTTACCTTGGCAACAAACATCACGTCCAGTCAGAGACAGACGAACAGCAGTGAGCAGTGCTTGTGTTTTTATTTGCTTTAAAATGATGTCAGACTCAGGAAAACGTACTTCACATGTATTTATTAAAAAGGGCGAGAGGAAGACATTGTGTTCTGAGACACATAAGCTGGACGCCCGTCCCACCACCGTCTTCTAAAGTTCAAAGCATAAACTTCGTCTCCTCTGCAGACCAGTTTCTGTTCCCGCCATGTTGAACGTTATAAACTTTCACTATGACACGAACAAACATCCGCAGAACGTACTTAAACTTTCAGATTGGGAATGTTATAAGATACAGCCGTTTACATTATTATTATCCTTCTGTTTAACGGATTGTTTACAGGGTTACCCACCTTGTTAATGATCACTGGACAAAGACATTTCACCTATTACTTCGGTACATATGATATGTCAAATAATTTGGGATACAACTGTTAATCAACACAGTTAACGTTGACGCATCACTTACTTAGTGCTTTCATGCGTGGTGTCCACATATGTGGACAATTATGTAACTTGATAAATTCTATGAAAAATATATTCTGAGTAATAAAACATCTTTAACAAGTCTAGCTACATTTGCAATACTTGCATGAAATGACTGCATGAAGCGCTCTATAGCGCTGTATAAAGACGATGATCTGACAGACTGCAGTACACTACAGGAGGTGTAGGAGGGGCCATGGCTTTTTTCAGTGCATCACAATCAGTTTTTGCACCCAAAGGAGATATAAATGTTCAGGTTAGTTGATACAGATGGCAACAATCTGACATGTAGTATTGGTATCAGGGTGAAAAGTGGCTTGGATATCAGAAATGTTTATTAGTATTTAAAGAAAAATTCTTTTCAATACTGGTATTGGTAATAGAAAAAAAGTTGTGTTGTGCCATCTCTAATAGTCAGTTAATCAAATAGTAGTGGATAAGGGCTCAGTGTACACACAGTTTATGGGACATGCAAACACAGAAAATTATACATTCTGCTCAATACAGCAGCAGTTACAGTGGCTAGAAAGATGCACAAGCCTAAACACCTGTTCTTAAGACCAGATGTGCAGTCCTATGGAAAAGTTTGTGCACCCCTTGTCAAATCCCATGTTTTGTTGATTTTCTAAGCGAAAATAACTGAACACATCCTCTGCACTTAAATTTGGCACTCTTAATGAACAGTTTCTATATATTTGCTGAGTTTAATGTATTGGAAAAAATAAAACATAGAATATAAGATGTACCATAACTTTTCCACTGGCCATATTTGATGTTTTTTTTTTCCCAATACATGAAGTTCATTAAATAAACAGTAACTGTGCGTTAAAATATGCAGAAGTGTGTTCTCTGTGGAGGAGGTGTTCACTTATGTTCACATAGAAAATCAACAAAACATCAACTCTGCATGACAGACTCAGAAAAACATAATTCAAGATAATTACAGAACGATTCAGTAGTAACATCTGAGAGAGTTAATGATTCACTTTTCTGTATCTGTGTCTTGGTCTATGAATGTGACTCCTCAAAACTGCAGGATAACCAGCACACCCATGCACACACACACCATACTCTCACACACACATGCACATGAGGGTTCAGAGCGTTTCGGGCTTCCCAAATAATAATCTGCCCAGTTGAGTGAGTGACGTTTACAGGCCACACTGCTGCTTTTAGACGGCCCATAAACGTCAAGCAAGATGACTGACGGCGCTAAATCGTGAGACCAGTCCAGCATTCATGCATTAACACTCACTTTCAGGAAAGAATTGAGGTTACAGGCTGAGCTCAAATTAATCCCAGAAATGGAGTGTATCACAAGGTCAGCGGGAATTTTCCATAAAAAGACTTTTCAGTCAAGACGCCGCTGTGGGAGCTGTGCCTTCAGTGCTAATTAAATGGAGGATTGATATGTAAACAACATAGAAACTTAAAAAAAAAAAGTTTAATTGCATTTCTAATACACATTAACTATAAAAACATAGAACCTTAAAACAGTAAAAATGTTAAATAGCAATTCTAATGCTCATTAACTATAAAAACACAACTTTAAAGCATAAATAAAAAAATAAAATGTTAAAGTTAAATGCCAGTTTTATTAATCATTAACTATAAAGACATAAAACCTTAAAACATTAAAAAAAGTTTAACGGCAATTCTATTGCTCATTAACTATAAAAAACAGAACTTTGAAGCATAAATAAAACAATTAAAAATGTTAAAGTTACATGCCATTTTTATTAATTCATCACTACTAAATGCTAAAAAAAGTTAAATGGCATATCTATTACTGACTCATTATATGTGAAAGCATAAAATCTCTAAAAAAACCCAAAACATTATGTAGCATTCCCAAAACACAGTTTTATCAAATTCCTGCATGTTTTACCTGCTCTAATGCACCCGATTCCACTCAAAAGCTTTGAAAATTACCTAATAATAACATAAAGAGCTACTTTAGCTGTATTAGAGGGAAAGGGGGAAAGTGCTGTATCCAGCTTGAGGAGTGTTAATCACCATCCTATAGAGATGCCTCAATAAAGCAAACCACAGGATAAGCAGAAATCATGAATAAACCTGTTTACAGTGCATTAACCCTTCATCTTTTCCAGCATGGCTGCTACCCTGAGCTACAGGTGTCAAACAATTCAGAGCTCACAGCACCGTTTCCTCACAGAACAGACTGACGCCACAGCAGACTGACATGTTGAGGGCCGTGTGTTGTGGGTGCTGGTACGTACTGGTGAATGGCTTGAAGGAATTTCCTCTGGTGCTTCCTGACCCTGGCGTGGTCCATCTTCCTCACCAGCTTGGTGTTCTTGTAGATGAGCCAGGTCTCCCTGAGAACGTTAGCAGCCGTGTTTTTCACCTGCAGTAGAAGAGGACCGCATAGTTATTGCCACTACTGCCATTACTATAGGTGTAACAATCAATGGGGACCAATCAAAGCCTTCTAGGCCCTTTAGTTTCTTAAAAGGCCTTCTTAGACCTAATTATAGCTCAAACAGTTTGCACTGAAGTCCCTGTAGTTACTAAATAATAAGCCTGGGACCTAAGGGGTTAAACTCTGCAAATATTGTAGTAATACAATACTTCTAGACTTCGATTAGAAAAAAAGGCTTAAGATCTTGAAACGACCCACATAGACATTATCCAATAAGGATTTTTTTATTATAAAGGTATCTAAGTAGATACAGCCAAAGCCAACCTCTCCCACTGGGTAGGACTTCAGGAGCTGAACTGAAGGCCTTATGCTGCATTCAAGTGTTGTTGCAAACTGTGAAATACCAATTTTTCCACTTGTACATTGTGCTCGCATGGCCGACAAAGTTGTAAATTGGGGAATCTAGTTGATACCCAAGATTACCAGATGTGATGTATAATGCTACCTTTAACCTTTTACACAGTGAAAAGTGAAAAATGCTAAACACGCAGTGTGTGACATAAGAACTGATGCACTTGTGTTAGATCTATGTGCTTTTTAACACAGCAAAACTAAAGCAGAACAGACTCCCCACGCTTTCTTTTTCCATGTAGTTGGCATATCTATGAAAAAGCACCCAAACGGAATTCAGTCGTATTTACTAGTTAACCAACTGTTATATACAACCTTCTGATACACACCCAAAGGTAGCATTACACGTTAGATTAACTTCCAGCATACTTAGGAAGTGAGATAAGGAATCAACCAATCATATTTAGACACTAAAGGCACTAAAGGCCTTCTGGAACTTGTGGATACATCACTGACTGTGAATACGAGTCGTAGTCTAAGCAGGTTCATATAGAGCACTACTATACTACATAGGATGCGTCGCAGTGAGAGCGTTGATGATTGTCAAGTTAAAATTAATTTTTACCCTCTGCTCGTACAAATATCATGAAATAAAATTTGCACTGAAGCTACTAGGCTAAAGTAGCTAACAAGTAATGGAAGCTTCAGTGCCACTAACTAGTATGATGCTAACTGCATGCCTCAACAAACTGATGTTAATATTACAAAGACTTGCTTACGTGGTTTCAGATACTGTATGATATACTGTTATCTGTAAACATGTAAACAAGTATGGAGCCTTGCTAAAAACATAACTCCTTTTTGAGAAAATGAGCAATGTTTTTTGAGAGTAAAAAGATTTTCTCATCTGCCAGGCAGAATTGGCTTCACTAATTTAAAAACCTCCCACCTGCCTGGTTAGCTAGGGCTAGTTCTGGGGCTAACCACCAAACATTACGAACATTACGCTAAGTGTGAGTTGCCAAATAAACTTCCAGAGGTTCACCATGGTAATTGCTAAAAACAGTACTAGCGGCTATCTTAAAGCCTGAAAAAAGCCTTCTGTTTCCACTTTTGTCCATGTTTATAGATAACAGGTATCATAAAGCATCAATAACCATAATCAAGTCTATCAGAGATCACTGAATAACTCTACACGGACTGCAACTGAGTGGTAATTTATGCATGCAGTTAGCATCATGCTAATAATGGAGATATCTGACTACTTTTTAGCTACATTAGCCTTGTAGCTCGAGTGCAAAACCGAGGAGGCAAACTTCAGACACCAAATATGTCTTGGCTGAGTGGCGACATTTGAAATAAAGAGTTAACACTGTGTAAATTAGATTTTATGTGTAAACTATTACTTTAATTTGTGTAAACTATTTCTTTAATTTGCACAGAAAGACAGACAGCATGTGTCTGCATTAAACCGAAGTGTTTTCCATCTGTCTATGTGACATGAGCCCACTCCCTGAATCTACTCTAATTAAATGCACAGCTTTACTTTGACATACAGCTATAGCTGAGACCTGACAAACATTGATCCTAAATTGATCTTTACTCGGACTGATGTATTGCTCATCCATCGTTATACAGCCCGCCGTGTTTTTCCCTACACGGCGCTTTTACTTTCTACACGGCTCATTTCAGCACTTTACTTCATTTGAGCTCACTTACTCTTTTTGTCAACTGCGTGTCCATCATAAAGTTATGTACATGTTTTTCAGCTTTGGTTAGTTCCAGTTTTTTCGCCACCACGGCCACCACCAAAGCAGTGCATCCAGCGCCCTGAGACAACAAAACAAACAAATCAGTTTGGGGTTGGATTCATAGAGCATTAAAACACATAAGGCATCATTATCACTTTCATTACTCTTGATATTGTATATATATTTAGAAAGCTGCAACATTCTCCAGCTTTCAAAGTTTCAGTTTTAAATACTTTACCAATAAATGTGGAGGTTATGCAATATCACAACACTTTTAATTTTATTTATCTGAGGTTTGTAAACAACTGAATTGACAAAATGCACCAGCAACACAGTATTGCCACATTAATGTTGCTGCTGCACTGCTGTATATGTATTAATGTGTTTAGCCAGTGAGTTTACTTGGTTTGTTGACATTAGAATTTATGGGGAGCCAGTGGATTTTATATGGAAGCCCCTTCTCGCCAGGTAGAGGATAGAAGAAAACATGATTTTTTCCTCTTCTCTGTTTTTTGGCATCAGTATGTCAAAATTATGAGTTAGTATCTTGAAATAATGACTTATTTTCTCAAGTTAATGACTTAGTATTTAATTTTTTTTACCATACTCATTTACTATGTTAAAATAATGACCTAATATCTTTTGATAAAGACTTACTATGCCAAAAAACTGACTTGGTTTCTCAGAATACGGACTTTCTATGTCAAAATAATGACTTTTTATGTCAAAAAAGTGGTTTAGTAGGTACTAATAATGAAGTATTATTGCAAGATAATTCTAATTCTAATTTCTGAGAAATTAAGCGATTATTATAGTAGACTATAGATATACTAAGTCACTATTTCAAGAAACTAAGTCAGTATGTTAACATAACTCTTTTTTTGAAGAAAATCAGTACTTTTTGGAAAAAAAAGAGCTGTTTTTCTCCTCTGCCAGGTGGGCATGGGCTTCAATAATAGGTAAAAACCTACAAACTGGTTAGCTTCGGCTAGTTCTGTGTCTAACCACCAAGCATTACACTCTATGCTGAAAGCGTGAGTTGCCAAATAAACTTCAATTGGGTCACCTTGCTACCTGCTCCTGCCTCTACCTTGCTGATGCTACAACATAGTGATTTTTCTTTATCTAATAAGTTATTTAAAAATAATCAGTACAAAGAATCTAAAAATTAGTACAAATAAATTTACTAATAAAGATAAGATGATGATCGTACCATGGCATCCAATCAGCTTCTTCTTACCATGCAATTAGAACAAACCTAAGAGCCTACCAAAGAACACCAAGACAAACAATAAACTCACCATAATGCCAGTGAGGAGACACACCCCTTTGCCACAGTATGTGTTGGGAACCATGTCCCCATATCCAATGGTTAGAAAAGTGATTGAAATCAACCACATGGCTCCTAAGAAGTTGCTGGTTACATCTTGGTTATCGTGGTACCTGAAAGCATGTGCATGAAGGACAAACATCATGATATAAAATGTAGCATTAAACCTCTAAAACACATTTACATTCATTTTCTGGTCCGCATTCACACTCACTGGCCACTTTATCAGAAACCCCTCCCTTGAAGCGCCACCTTGGCTGTTAGCTGTCCTCTAGCTCTTCATCAAAGCTCAATTTCTGACCACAGAGACCCTCTTGGCTGTATATGTTTCTGATGGTGGTCCACTCTCAACCTACCAACCTACCAGTGTCACTGCTGTGCTGAGAATGGCCCACCGTCCAAATAATACCTGGACAACAGTGGTCAGAAACTGACCAATGATTAATGGGGTAGAGGGGGGTTGATAAACTGTGCAGCAACAGATGGACTACAGTCTGTAACTGTACATCTACATAGTAGAACTAATAAAGTGGCCAGTCACTGGAAACACAAGGCAGGTGTTCCTAATAAAACAGCCAGTTAGTGGAAGTACAAGGCAGGTGTTTCTAATAAAGTGGCCAGTGAGAAGAGGCACAGAGTAGGTGTTTCTAATAAAGTGGCCAGTGAGTAGAAGCACAAGGTAAATGTAGGTAAATAAGGTAAATAAAGTGGCAACTCTGTATATTTGTAAGCACAGAACATTCTTTAGAACAATATTAAATATAATTCAGAGTACTAATTTCAACCTGATCATAGTCCAGCACTCTCACAACAAAATGCATGATATGCAAGTCACAGATAAGACAGATAGTGAATATTGCACCACATGTGTTAATCTGATCATCTTCCTCCACTGATGTACAGAATGAGTCAAAAGTTTGGGCCCATTCAATGTATGTTTTTTCAGAATCTTAAAAACATTTCCATCTAAAAGCTTAGGCTTGAATGCTTAAAGTTTGTTTCTGAGAAATTGTCAGATGTAAAAGGACAGAGAAACTGTACTTAAGTGAGCGTTCGAGTTCTGTGTCAAAATCTTACTCAGTTAAAAGTGTGAGTATAGAGGCAAAAATATACTTAAAGTCAAAAAGTACTGACGTTTAAACATACAAAATGATGAATTTCAGTATTATTTGAGTAAAGCACAAAGCATCTTCTAAAATAATACTTAAGCATAGTAACAAATTACAGTTTCTTAAGTATTTTCCACTTGTGCAAACTGTAAATTGTGAAGCTGATCACTATGTATGAATTTATTTACAAATCAAACATTTTACATGTAGAAAATAAATGTTTAAAACTGGCTAATGTTTTTGTGTCCAAGATGGTTGTTAAGGTGTAGTTAGGCCATTGCTGTGTTATCAGAGACCTTGTAGAGAGGAGAATTACCAATCCGTAATGTCTTCTGGGTTTCTCAAAAGCTAGAGGGCGCTCCTGAGCGAGTCCAAAATGAATGGGTTAAGATGGAGCATTTGAGTAAAATCACTTTTTTGATGTAAAAGAATGCAATCATATCCTGAACACAGAACAGCATAAAACATTTTAAAACTGCTATCTTTTAAGAGCTTTTGAACTCGATTTATAGAGCTTAAAATGACACGTCATGTATGTTCATAACGTCAGTGAGCGCGAACAGCCTATGAGCTGCTCCCCTCGCCAACCAATCAGCACTCAGTAGCAGTAATGCTAATGTCCTACTGCCCAAAACCCGTTTGCTGTAGAAAAAAGGAAACATACAGGTACGTTTTCTTTGCTTTTTCAGTGAAATACATCCTTCTACTTTCTAAAATTAAACAAAACTTCTGGCAAAGTGATTAGAAACTATTTTAACTTTTCATTTTTAGCCATTTAGTTCAGTTTACCCCCATTCATTGAGGACTCGCTCGTGGACGCCCTCTGGCGTTTTGCAGTCATGTTTTTGATACAACAGGGGAAACAGGAAAAGGTCAGGCTCCTCATAAACTGGCTCTAGTGTTGTCTCAGGTGGTTGCTAAGCTGTTGTTAGTCTATGCTATGGTGTCACAGGTGGTTGCAAATGCATATATGTGCTAGAACACATGTATGTATGTGAATCTATATCTATTGTCTGTGAGGGGCAGTGTGAGAGTGCTGTGACATCATTTGTGTCAGCATCTCACCATTCATCTCCTATGGAAAAAGAAATCGTGTCTAAAAGAAAGCTGTATATAAACTGTACGTGTGCTTGGTCCCAAAAGCACAAGTGCACTATATCTCATATAGGCTCATCAATCCTGCAGCGTTTTGTGGTTCAATCTTGAAAACGACCCATGACAACCATACCAATAAGCGTAGAATACTAAACCAAGAACAGTTAGTTGGCTTGGTCAGGCCAGCTTAATTAAGAAAAGGCCTTCACGAGTATGTGAGTCCAAAATTTTGACTGATGCTATGGTTCAGGCAGAACTGAATTTCTTGGAAGGCTGGCTGCTGCAACTTTGCTGTAACCTTCCCTTTAAAAACCTAATTGAAGGATCTGTGTGCCTCCAGAGACGTTTGTCCTAGTTTTCCAGGCATCTCTAAACGCTGTTTAAAAGGTTACTACCCATCATTCACAAGACACTTCCAGGAACAGAACGTGAGCAATATGATCCGGAACGAGGTGTGACAGCAGCACAGAGACGCACAGGAGAGTTATTAGCATAGACATTCTCGCTGCCAGCTACAGAGACCACATGCACAGAATTACTAGACTTTTAACACTGATCACTGGCTTATCATGCTGAAGTGGCCTCTGTATGATCTCAGTGTTTCTGGTTTAACCCTTAGACGTCCACAGCTAAAGAGTTTAAATGTAATCACATAATTAAGTACACAGTTATGTTGACGTACATTCACATATTGTCAGGTTCATTCTGCATTTCCAACTTTCTTCTGTCTGTTTTAGGCCCATATCCTACATTTTCTTTTGTATTTATTTTTTTCCCCCAAGGTCCACACATTATCTGCACAGGTATATGTAACAAAACAGCCACAGTTCATTTTAAATGAACATGTCTAAGTTCTCTCTATCTCTCAGAATTGAACAAGCTGGTTTTGTTACTGTGCCTTTAAGACTGCTATATTCAAATGAGCTCTGAGTGAGTGAGGGTTCTGATTTGCTGCCGTGTATTGTGCCTCATTCAAAAAGCAGGCTGGGCTGAAACACTCTTTACAAGTTCAACATGAATAGACAGATATATGGTCGTATGCCAAAGTCTGAACACTCTCTGGTCAAATGTTCTGCTGATTTTCTTAGTGAAAATAACACATACACTACAGCACGTGTCAGACTCCAGTCCTTGCATGCCAAAACACTGCAGACTTCAGCACGTTGCCTTATTAAATACATCTGATTCAGCTCATCAGCTAATTAGCAAGGCCTTCATGAACTGAATTCAGAACGTTAGATGAGGGTAAACATTAATCTCTGTAGCACTTTGGCCTATTTTCAGCAAATAAACAGTAATTGTGCATTAGAATGTGCAGAGGTGGGTTCTCTGTAGAGGATGTGTTAATTTATTTTCACTTAGAAAATCAACATGACTTTTGAACGGGGCGCCCAAACTCTTGCACACGTCTGTCTGTGCATATTTTATCATAAATACTACGAATTCAAAAACGAGCTTTTTCTGCAGTTTGGTTTCCATACACAGACTCTATGGACTGGCGTGTCAAAGTACATTTTGAACCTATAACGATGTTTACATGCTATATCAAAGTCTTTTATTAATAAAACAAAGTGAGAAGTTTAGTCTTTCATGATATGAGCCCTTTAAGAATACAATAATTTACAATAATTTCTGACCTATCCAGCTTAGGTAATTACCAAGCCTGAGGCAGGTATGTTAGAGAAAGGGACACAAACGTGCCGTGCATGAAGTCTCCAGAGCTGGGATTAAGAACCTCTGTTTAGATATATGGCACACTACAATGAGTAGCACAGTACAGAACAGTTTATATAGTATTGCATGAAATACGTAGTTAAGTAGCTACTTAGCATGGATGTTCCTTTGTAAAGATGACCAGTTCCTCACAGAGGCTAAAGACCATCATCGGATTTGCTTTGATTGAGGAAATAATTTGGTAAAAAATCAAATTTATACAATTTTCTACAGCGCATAACAGAAAAAACTAGGAGTCATCAATGTTTGTTTTCAATGTTTTGTAACATTAATTTCTCATTTTTATTACCATTAGTGGTACAGGACCTATTTAACCCGCTAAATGGCCAGGACCCACTGGGCCCAGAGGTTTATTACACACTTCTATAACCTTAGAATAGCTCAGCCAGTTTGTACTGAAGTCCCTGTAATTACTGAATATTATAAAACGGATAGTTCTGGTCCTAAAATCTGATTGGCTGAGCCATGTTCGAAGCTGTTGTAAAAATCCACGATATATGCACACCTATGACCGCCTCACAACAACTGAATTGTGAATTACTGCCCCATGGCACGAACAAAACCTTGTGCTGTTAATGAATCTTTCTCTCATGCTGCTCGCATTGAGCACCGAGTGTACTAATGAAGTAAGAACCCATTTTTTTGTTTAAACTAAGAGGCTGACAGCTTATGTTCTTAACTAGAACTAGGCTGGTCAGCTAGCTATCAGGCTAAAAGATAGCTAACAGTCTAAACAACTCAATCATTAATATCACAGGCTGAAATTAAAGGACTTCCAGTATGATTAACTGTAAAACGGCAGTATAAAAGACTAAAAATGTCACTTGAATGGATTACATGCTTCAACTGTTTGCCTTTCAGTCAGAAGTAGCATCCGTACTCCCTAACCAGTATGCTAGCTATGAAAATTTAGAAATTCTAGCCACTACAGCCAAATAGTGCATCATTTATCGAGTATTGATGAGGCTGAATCCCAAGTGACTGATGATCTTAGCTATATTTTGCACTGTTGGGCTGCAGGATCCAGTATTTAAATTCCTACATAGTGCACTATGTAGGGAGCAAGCAAATTCATGAAATTACCGCAGTATATATTGATGGGCGACCGAACATTCTCCTCATTCAGCGGTCCATGGCTTGGCAACAAAACAGAAAATTATTTTCTAAAATATTGTGTTTTTTAATTAAATTTTTTACTGCCATTTTATAAAAGCAATAAGCCATAAGAGGCCAAGCGTTACTGCGATTTTAACACAGGGAAGGGAGTTTTAGGCACCAATAGACACTTTCTGTCGTGCCTAAGAACACCCTTGCCGTAATAAATAACGCACGGCCTGCTCTAATAAGCCTTAGTATGTAATAAGACTGGGATTTTAAGGGGTTGATGTTTTGCTTTTTTCAGCCGAACTTTTCAGTGTTTTTTCTCTTTGGCTGAAAACCTAAATTGCCACTTTTGACCATTTACAGCCAGAAAATTTTGGTGGTGAAAATTTCGGTACATCCCTGCTAATCACTATCATTCTTTCTAGTGTGGAGCTAATTTCAAACAGCAAACAGTGACGGCGCTTGTTGATGCTCTCGAAGGCATGACATCAGACAACATAGCACACTACAAGCCAGCCTAAACATTGAGGGAGTAGTGATCTGAGCCGGGGCACCTTTCGCACGCCCTCACAGTCCAGGCGGCGATGATCCACAGAGAAATGGTGAAGACCAGCAGCACGGTGCCGGGGCAGATGGTCATGAGCGTCTTCATGACAAAGCGCGTGTTGAAGTTGATCTTGTTGAGGGCGCCGATGCTGCGCGACGAAGCGTCCGTGAACAGTTTGCTGTGCAGCAGCATGACGCGGGCGATCAGGTAGAGCCGCAGGAACATGGGGATGGACAGAATGATGTCCACGTCCGCGTCCGTCTTGGAGGAGGTGTAGTAGAAGGCCAGGCGCGCCGTCCAGGTGAAGGTGTACTTGCCCGGGATGGGGTGGATGGCGCACACAAGGATCTCCAGGCAGATGAAGAAGATTCGCTCATAGGTCATGGCTATCCTCCAGTCGTCCGCCGCGTTGTCCACCATGAACAGCTGAAAGTTGGCGAGAATGGGGGGAACAGAATGGAGAACAGAGTTAGAAAAGACATCACAGACTTTAAACAATTCAGATGTAAAACATATACACTATTCCTCATAAGTTCAGGAACATTTTGCTTTCTTCTGAAAAGGAAAAAATCCCTGTAAAGGTTTAGTGATCATAAAGCAGCTCTGTGCTGATGCTTTGCGGACATTTAGCTTCAACACTCAGCTTCATGTTCATCAGTGTCTTCCTTGGTATCAAGACCAGATTTTGCCTAAATAGTGATTTGACAGTTTTACACTACTTAAATGGGAATTCCACCTTTTGTTTTAAACTTTTGCCCTAGTTCTATTACTGAGATGTAAACAAAATGGTTTGAGGTGAAACACACTCACACCTAGGGGCAATTTAGCATGTCCAACTGGCCTGACTGCATGTCTTTGGACTGTGGGAGGAAACCGGAGCACCTGGAAAAAACCCATGCAGACATGCGGAGAACATGCAAACTCCACAGGACCCTGGTTGCCCGGCCGGGAGTCAAACTCAATCCTCAGTAGTAAATTAGACTTTTGTGTATGTCTGAGCACGTCACTCCACCAGAGGGCAGTGTAGAGCCTGCATCGTACATTCTGGTCAGAGCTTGTTGTCTCTTTAGTCCAAAGAAGGAAGCACAGAAAGACTACTGCAGCCGGCTAAGGGCTACCACACACACCGAACGAGAAGCTCTTGCACCACCAGAGGACCTGACTGATATGAAAATTGAGTCACTGATACCAATTTTAAGGAGCAGAAAAATTCATAAACCAATAACTGCTGATACAAGTACAGGGTCACAAATTAAACAGTGCTTAACTGACTGAAATAACTGTCAGATGTCAACTGTTAATGGTCAGATATGACTAGTCTAGTTAGTTCTCAAAGGTTAAACTTCTTAAACTTAAAATAAACAGCAGAAACAAAATGTAAAATAAGATAAAAATAAATATTGCAGTGCCTATTGTGTTTGAATTCTGTTCATTAGCTCAAATTTCTTATCAGTTATCTTCACATGAGGGTTTATAATATATTTTACTCATGCTAATGGTTGTAGGACTATCTAGGTTCCAGGTAGTTGTTGGGAATGGAAAACAGCGACAGCAGCTCTATGCCAGGACTCTTTACTTGAAAGAGTCACTGTAACACTGATACATGCAAAGCTCAAATATATGTTAATGTCTGTTACTTACTTACTTACTTGCTTCAAATATCTGTGTTTAATCTAGAATGGCCAAAAAATGTTAATGTGCACCAGGATTAGCTTAGCACTAACATACTATTAGAAATCCCATAGGGTGCTACCAGAAATTAGCATAATTTTAGAAGTAGATTTGTTTTTGACACTTACGGCTTGTATTGAATGCCTTATAGTTCTAATGTTCCTAATAGTCATAACTCTCTACTGAATATAAAAGAAGTTTCTTTAAAATATTTGTTATACTAAAAAATACATGGAGCTTCAAAATCAGCTGATTTTATCGAGCAGTTGATATATCGGTCAGGTGCTACTGGAGAGAGATTATTCAAAGTTCTACCAGTTTATGATTACTTTGTGCTCTGATAGTTTCTGTGACTACGCCTCTTCTCTGAGGGTGCTGGTGCTATGAGAACAGTTTACTCTGCTGTTTTCAAAACACCCCCCACCCCCCCACGCCAAACGCTCCATAATTTCAATCTCAGCCTGTCGGACCGTGCCAGCAATCATCCCTCACCGTTCTGTCTCTAACTCATCCTTCAAACGGCCGTGTTTCTCTTCGAGTGGCCGGAGGCTCTCCGCACCCTCCTCCGTCAGATTCCTCCAGAAAAAAGGCCCCCTCCTCCTGCTGGATCAATAAATAACCCCCCCAAACGGATCTCCGGCTGGCGTGTTGTCAAATCATTCCCTCCCTGACACTCGGTGCAGATAACCCCCCGCCCCCCCCGGCACTCATCCTCACGCAGTCTGTCACCTCAAGGTCCACCTGGCAGCCTCCGTCAGCGCCAGATATTTCACCACCAGCGTGCAGCAGTCAGCACAATGCACAGCATCTCTCTCTCTCTCTCTCTCTCCTCTAACCCTCCATCTCCCTCCCACTCCTTTTCTTTCTATCTCCTTTCTTTTTCTTTTCTTACTATATCTGTTCTTTTCTCTCTCTTCATTTTTTTCTTTCTCTATCACTCAGTCTTTTTTCTCTCTTCCTGTCTATCTTCTTCTCGTTCTCTCTTCCTTTCTCTGTCGCTCTTCCTCTCTTCCTCTCTCTAACTCCTTTTCTTTCTCTCCTCTCTCTATTTCTTTTCCTCTCCCTTCTGCTGTCTTTTTCTCTATCACTTTTTCTCCTTTCCTCCTTCTATCTCCTTTTCTTTTTCTCTTCTATCTTTTTCTTCTCCTTTCTCTATCACTTTTCCCCCTTCCTTTTTCTATCTCATTTTCCTCTCACTTCTTCTTTAGCTGTTTCTTTTTCCGCTCCCTGCCTTTTTCTCTTTCTCCCTCCATCTCCCTCTTTCTCCCACTCTTTATCTATCTTCTTTTCTTTCTTCATCTGTTTCTTTTTCCTTCTCCTCTCTCTTTATCTCTATTTTTCTTTATCACTTACTTCCTTTCTTTCCATGTCTTTCTCCCTCCTCCTATCTCTCCTCTCCCTGTCTTTTCTCTTTCTCCCACCATCTCCCTCCTTCTCTTTCATTCTTTCTGCCTCTTTCTCTATCTCCTTTTTTCTTCATCTGTTTTTTTCCTTTTTCTTCTCCCTCTCTTTATCTCTATTTTTCTTAATCACTTTCTCTTTTCTTTATCCTTTCTTTTCATGTCTTTCTCCCTCCTCCTATCTCTCCTCTTCCTGTCTCTTTCTCTTCCTCCTTTTTCTTTCTATCTGCTCCTTTCTCTTCTTCTCAGTCTGCTTCATTCTCTCTCTCCCCTCCCCTCTTTTCTCTTCCCTTTTCCCTCTTTCTCTCTACCCTCACCTTCTCTTTTTCTTTCCCGCTTCACCATCTCCTTTTCTTACTTCTTCTATGTTTCTGTCTCTCTCCTCACTCTGCCTTCTCTATTCTGTCTCCTTTCTACCATTTCTTTCTCATTTCTATCTCATATTCACACTCCTCTTTCATTGTCTTTTTAACTATCTTCTGCCTTTCCTACTACCTTCATCTCTCTTTCTCTAACACTGTTTCTCTCCCTCTCTCTTCTTTCTCTCTTCCTCTCCTTCTGTTTCTTTTTCTATCTCTTTGCCCCCTTTGTATGTCTTTCTCTCAATTTTTTTTCCCTTTTCTCCCTCTCCTTTTATTTCTCTTCTCTTTCTTCATTTATTTTTCTCTTTCTTGTTCTCTCTTGGTCTCCTTCTCTCTCTCTCTCTCTCTCTCTCTCTCTCTCTCTCTCTCTCTCTCTCTCTCTCTCTCTCCTTTTCTCTTTCTTCTCCCTCCATCCAGCTTGAACACATCTCTCAGCTACAGGAATTGAGGAAAAGCAGAAACCCTAAAAGCTCCTGAAGCTCTGCATTATATCGACTCTCCTGGGCTCTGAAAGCTGTTTCACAGTAATGAATTCATGTTAAAGGAACTCTGGTGAAAAGTGTAATTTGCCCAGTTTTACTGTAACCCCAAATGTAGACAATTAGAAAGGACAGGTTTGGTGTCTGAACTTTGCTTCTTTAGTTTTACACTGGAGCTACGAGGCTAATGTAGCTAACAAGCAATGAAAGCTTATGTATATCAACAATAGGATGAAGCTAACTGCACGCCTAAAACATCACACACTCAGACTCAAACTCTGTTGAGTTGTTAAGCAAATTCAAATAGAACTTGCTTATGTGGTTCTGACACTTTACTCAACAGTTAGTTCAGATGGCACAATCTGAGTGTGGGACTACACCAAATTCTGAACCTGAAGTTGCCCCTTAAAGCTTCTTGAGATAATTGGTATTTTTTGCTCTTGGGCCTCCTTTACAGTTGTAGAGTGTCTTTCACTTAAACACCTGTTGTCAGTATAAATCGTACTGTAAGCACCCCCTCATGGACAGCTGTACACGATCAAGGATACCGACTCCCTTTTGCATGCATGTGCATCACGTAGGCATCTGGACGCTACAGATCACACTCACGATCTCAGATGTTTCTATGTATCAATAACTGATATCACAAGTGTAATCTGCAGCATCGATATGACTACAAGACGTGCGTGTATGTAAAGGGGAGTCAGATTCTGCCTGCAAGATGGAATTCAGCACAACACCTGCAAACACAACATCAGAAGAGAAAGTCGATTTACAAGGTAGAGTAACATTAGAGGATTTTATTACAGGAGGTTGCAAACTTTCGAGGCTTATTTGGCTTGAGATTGACTGACTGACCAAGCTTTTTGGTGTGAGATGAATTTATTAATTTGCATGCCAGCGTGAAACAGGTCTGAGGTTGGATGACTTCTGGCATTTGAAAAAACTACAGAACCCTGTCAGAGAGAGATGACACAGATAAGGTTACAGGTTATATTACAGTCTTTCATAAATAACACTGTCAGGTTTTCATTGTTTTCTTGTTAGTCATAAGACTGTCCTGCATCCTTTTATCTCTTTTAACTCTTGCCAATGAGTAAAAGCCAGTCCAAGATTTACTCTCGTCCAGTCTCTTGCTCAGACACTCTTTCTCACTTCCCCTCACAACGTTGTCTTTGATCTCTTTGCAGCTTTTGCCATGATGTCCATGCTGGGAATACCGAGCTAGCTGAAGAGCCATAGTTGCTGGTGTGTGATGTGGCGCTGTAAAGCATACAGTGCTGCTCCTCCAAAGTTACATAATTCTGTAGCAGACATTCTGGCCTGAAGTGGCAATAACAGAGACGCCATTCTCCCTATTATAAGTCAGTGTAGCATCAAAATGATTTTGAGGCTGTTTTTGTAAAGTAATTTTTACATAATGTTGCTTTAAATCCTAACAGATTTCTAAAACGGAGAGCATCACACATTTTTTATTGTTGTTGTGAGGCCGTGCAAACTGGACCATAATGCGG